TGTTTCATTTTTGCCGGCGGTGGAATGCTTTGGTGCGATTATAAGTCGACCCCCCGCTTCAGATTTTCAAAAATGGAAAAAAAGGTCGGCCTACATTCGTTTAAATATGGTACTGCTGCAGACGCCAGCACGTGCGGCACGTGGAACACCATTCTCTGCATTCTCCTTGATGCTTGGGAAATTTAGCGTGTGCTTATCCTTTCATCATGATGACCTTCGATCGAGAAAATAAATGTGTTTGACCATAGTTGAAAATTGCATGGCACGTCTGTGTCATGTGCTGAACAGGTTTGCTGGTTATCCACCTCCACAGAGTGGAATGGCTCACTATTTTTATAACAACAATCTGAACAAGTACTTGCCTTTAACGGTGATATTTTTTTTTAAAGTAAGAATCTCGAGCTTGTAGCTTATCTTTGGCAGTTGATCCTACTGATCAAGAGTTTGCGCAGCCGAGATGCATTCTTGAAAGAGCTCGTGCTTGCAGCCTAGGAGCAGAATTGTTGCACATTACAAAAAGCTGGGACACAAAAAACGTTCAGCCTTTCCACTTTCGTGAAGAAGGAAGACCAGCGGAGCTGTACTCGATACACCGCCACAACGCGCACGCGTCCGTTTCCCGCTTCTTCTCCTCCGACACGCTGCCGATCGTGGATACGTCTCCGGCGACCCAGAGTCTGGCGCACACGGTGCACGTGTCGCCAAACGGGTAATCCACAAACTCCCTCCGGTACATCGCCGTCGCACCCGGGAACTGTTCAGCCGGCGTGGAGTGCAGTCGTCGCCAGGCCTCGCACTTGCGCTTGGCCTTCGTGGCGCGATCGTCGTCCGTGGCATTAGCCCGCCGGGGCCCTTTACATTGCTGGTTCTGTTCTTGGCGGCGGCTTTCCAGGCGAGCGATGTGCTCTTCTTTGGCAAGGGAATGTGAGGCGCTCGACGCAGTGGAAGTCGAGGCGACAGCGGCTTTGCGGTGGTTACGGACCCATTAGCGCTGCTGCGTATGTCGCCGCTCCTTCCGCAGCCAGTCTTCTTTCCCCGAAAGGGCGCGGGGCCGACCCATCCTGAGTCCAAATTGGAACTGATAAGAGCGTAGGAAACAGCGCGCATAACAGACGAGAATGAAGAAACACACGTGACGAGCGCTGCGCTCGTTACGTGTGCTTCTTCGTCATCGTCGTCTATTTTTCGCGCTGTTTCCTACGATGAATTCCCACCAACGGGCCCAACTATCCATTCTTATATTATAGCCGCACGGCTCTGTATAGCTGGAAAGGTCGGCGCCATCTACGAGCGACGGCGGCAACCATACTGGTTGTGTGCTTGCCGCCGTTGCTTATAGATGGCGGTAGCTGTCCAGAGGCGTTTTTGTCGACAAGTGTTTTGTACCGGACACGATCCTTGGAAACCTAGCCCTTAACAAAAATAAAGCGAAACAAAGGGTAAAAGAACACAGATAAGTATAAACTATGTGTGACAAGTACGTAGTGCCCCCTCCAGTCCGCCCGTCTGTGGCCGCCAGGCTCGGCAGGCAACATTGATCACCGCGCCAAATAAACACTGCGGAGCGTACGCCGCCCCGGTCAGTCATCGTCCACCCTCACAACCAGGCTGCGAGTCGTCTCCTCTCGGCGGGTGCTTCGGCCCCCTTCATCCACGTTCGAGAAGGATTGCGACACTATGTGAATATGTTAAAAAAGCGGAGCTACTTTTCGAGCGAAAATTAATCGACGAGATGAGGTCACTACAGCGCATGCCATTTCGAACGCTCGAGACATGGGAACCAGGACTCGTAGCCGCTTGCCTGCGGGCCGCATCCCAGCGAGTAGCGGGCCACGTGTTTGAGACCCCTGCCCTAAACAATGTGAGCCACGGAATCGTGGCCAAACTCTACCCCCAGACGTTCTGGACTTTTTGTGGTTGTGGCTAGGCTCAGGTGCAATGTTTATAAACTGCAACGTCCAAACACGGGCTGAGCATGCGGTCTGGCCAAAGTGGACCAACTTCTGCAATACCAGAACCCTTGGAACTCTACATGTATGCATTAAGGGGGGGGGGGGGGTCACTGTTAGGGGAAGCGCACAGATGATGCATGCACGTAGCAAGGGCCACACTTGTTGGATTGCATGGGTGAGCGCTGTAGCCGTTTCGCGCTGGGCCCAAGAGATGGTGCAGCGGCCATGGAAGGAGGAGGAAGGAAGCGGGGGAAAAAGGAAGGTCGGTGAGAAACGGCGAGATTTACCTACACCAGCGATACCGCTCTGCGGGAGTAAGCGAGAGAATAAAGTGTTTAAACAAAATTGCCAGGTGCTGCCGGGGGGCGCTTGAACCAGATGACTACTGCCATGCTGGCAGGGCTTTGAACCAGACGTGCCTCGAGAACACCGACTGCAATGCTGGACGAATGAAAGCGGAGGCAGCCCCGATCCTGTTCAAGGGGTCTCTGGGGAAGAATTGGCTGCGTTACACAACCATTCTCTCCGACGGAGACGGCCGCACCTTCCATGCTTTGCCACAGGAGGGCATTTATGGCTGCCTCGAGACCAAGCAGAAGGATTGCCTTTACCATGTGCACAAGCGAATGGTAGAGATGAAGGCACAAGGGGAGTCTCGGAGGAAAAGCGGAGCTGACACAGGACAAGACTAAAAAGATTGCAAGCTACTATGCGTATGCATTGAGGACCCACAGGCACAACGTCCCAGGGATGAAAAAAGTGGTACAGGCAACTTTGTTGCACATGACATTGATGGAAGAAGTCTCAGACCACAGCCACCGTCCTGAAGGAGACAATTCTCGATGCTCCTACAACCGCACACTGGCTAACCACGAGGAGCCAACAGCACACGAGAACCTTCTACCAGGCTTCATTTGCACAGCACAAGCTGTTCTTTCAGAGGCTGGGTGACCAGGCCCTCCTGGAGCGCTGCAGTGATGGCATGACACAGAACGCCATTGAGAGCCTACACTGTTGTCGCTGATGCAGTGTCTCGCTTCAACCATTGCATGGCAAAGACCAGCAGGGCAGTAGCAGGGCACCTTGGCTACAGCACTAGAAGCTGTCTAACATTCAGGAGCCTTGAGAAGGACAAGCAGAGGCTCCGCAAGGCCGACAAGGCTCGCACGGGGTGAGAAGGTGAAGAAGATAGCCAAGAGGCACACGTCCGACAGGACCCAGGACTACTGCCCAGGATACAAGTGAACCTACACTTGCAGCCAAAAAACGCTTAACGTAATTTTCTGTACTATTTCAGTCGACCTTCAAAGTCTCTGAGTGAAAACACGTCGGTGACACCAAACATACCAAAACGAAAGGTACCAATAAAACGGCGCCGAAAGTGCATCATCAGAGGGCGCACTATCCTCGGAAGTTTGCTATCACGTTTACATCGGCGCTCGGGCTTTCGCCTTCAAGTCGTGTTAGGGATAACATAGGGACCTTGTGTTTTTTCAATTGCCATTTTGAATACATTGGCATACACAATTTCTAGAAAACTTTGTAATTTCGTGTTAAATAATAACCGGACTGCATCCAAAAGCTTTCCTTTTTTCTATAAATTCAGTAGTAAAGGTGTCATTGCCTTATGGACGTTCGTATGTTTGCATTAATGAATACCAGTCAACTTAATATTGTTCTTAGCAACGACTAAACTGCATCCTAAAGCTTTAGGTTTTTTTCATAGAGCCAATAGATTAAAATTAGTTAAAATGCTGACTAACTACGGCCAGATTTTGTCTGCTTTCAGGTCTCATTTATTTACGGTCAACAACTGGCATCATAAAGATTCTATTAGGTTTAAGGCGTATGGCGGACTCATGTAAAAAAAGAAATTGTTTTAGCGAGAAATTACTTATAACGACCCATAAGAAATTACTTGACTGGTGTGTGATATTTTGCCATAACTTCTGTTCTAGAGAAGATATGTGAAATATAATTACAGATACGAAATCACCATTAAAAATCATATATGTATACTAACGGCTAAAAATGTGCTGATAAAAATAAATAAAAAAATATAGTTGAAGACCTGCGTCACCCCTTAAAGTGAATGTCGAATCGTGTACTATTCGAAACTACTATTCCAATATTTGCTCCACACTTATATTCTCTTTTAAGTGTATTATTCGGGAAAAATGCAGTCTGACATTCTTTGTCAGTCGGCATCACCACATATTAAGAACTTAGCAGTCCATTGTCATACCACGAATAAGTCGGGTAAATAACCCACATTAAGAACTCTAGGCAAAAGCCACGATCCCTAAAAGTTGGGCCTATGAAACAACTTGCATTCCCCCCGAAAGTTATTTTTTAAGTTATAATAAGAATCATTTCATAAAATCGGTGGATATCGCAGCAATAGGAATAGTCTTAATAAGGCTGCCCATTCCTTATGTTAATTAAAGCGAGTGACAAGGAGGCAACCTACCAGAACGATACGTTTCCGACTGACTCTCGACATTCTGGTTCCGGTACTTTAAAGTTTTCGATTTTTACAAAAATCTTGCATGTGGCAAGCTACAAGGTTTCAGAAAATGTTGCTGCTATGCTAGCTTACAAGCGGCCCTCTGGGGAAGTCCCCAGTCAGAGCAAGGCACTCAACAGGAAAGCGACCAGGAGTTTCCCCGAGCCCAGTCATCCGATGCAAGCTACCGGCGTCGCTCGCCCGAGATGTCGGCCAGTGCGTATGGCAATATATTCACCTCGCCGAAGTGCTGCTGCTTTTGCAAGGACTGGCGTTCAATTGGCAAAAATGCTAGCGCGGCACTCCCGTCCAACTTGTGTTCCCCGTTGGCCTTCTTTAGGCAATGCTGAATGTTACTTTGTTGACTAGTATTCCCCCAAACACCCGGTTCTTTCGTCGTCCCCTTCACCACCCTAGCATCTGCCCAGTACGTTGGCTTTTTAATGCCGCACATATTCCTCCATTACGCTTGGCAACAAACCAGCATATAAGTGAAATTGGTCAAACACTGCACGCCGTGGCAAGAGATTGGCACAAGTCCATCAGCCGAACCAGTGCGCCCCCATGCAGTTGCGTGACCACTCCGTCTGGCAGAGCCAGACACTGGAAGCCACTGGAAGCCACTGGAAGCCACATTGGGAGCGGCTGCAGATCATGTGCATGCAGCCACCTGCATAGAGAAATGGGGATCCTTCAAACAACCTCTCCCACTTCTCTTTTATACTTGCAACACTCTCCAATTCGTCGGGCATGTTCGGCCCATAACTGCGCATCAACGTGTGGCTTTCTCGCGCTAAAATAGGGCTAAAACAGTGACGACAATTTATGTGCTTGAAGAGCGAGACTCCTTAGAAATTTTAGCAAGAGGGGTTTGACTCGCTCACGTGTGGCTACTCAGGCTTCCAATCCCAGCCTTTAGGAAAATTAGCTCACCCAAATGCAAACCGATCAGTCCCACCTCTCTCTTTGACAATTAGATATCTGTCGCAAGAAGAGGATGTGGCCGTCCCTTTCGGTGGGCGTGCGACACATGGGGCAGGGCTTGGTGGTGGAGCGGACCGTCAGCCGGCTGGCCTCGTCCCACCGGCTGTCTCTCGCCTGGGCCTCGTCCACCGGGTACGCCGACACGCTTCCCTGCGGCACACGTGTGCAATGCAGTCGAGCGTGCAGCACGGCCCTGGGCAGATGTGCGGTAAAACCTCCGACTGTACAGCACGCTTTGCTGCAGCACGCGCATGCAAAGCGGTGAAACCTCGGACTTCCAACTCGCTTCCCTGCAATACACGCGTGCAATGCACTGAAGAGTGCGGTGCAACCACACACTGCGCGACACACTTCCACGCAGCACATGAGTGCAATGCGGAGATGCAGGTGGCACACCTTCCAAGCTGCACAATGTGCTTCCCTACACCAAGCGGGCATATTTCAATAGACCGATCTCACCAGCCAGTCTGACTACACCGCCGCTGCCACAAAGCATCCAGGAACTATAGACTTTCTGCACATACAACGACCTTGCCGGAGCTCTTCGCATGTAAAGCACGAGACCGCACAAACCACCTCGTGCTCTGCAGCCTGCCTCCCAAGAACTCAAGTTATAGCGGCGTCACGCATCCACTCTGTGAGATCGGTTCATTCAAAACTGGCTAGGAAATCCTTCGTTTTGTGACGTTCTAGCGGCCTCCCAAACATGCAAAGTAAAGGTCATTCTACTGTTTACAGCAGGGGTTCTCAAACGTTTTGGCCTCACGGAACCTCAGGAAGCCTCAAAAACTGCCGCGAAACCCCCCTTCATATTTGCCCACCGAGGACCAACAGATGCACAATTGTAGGCAATTTTGCTTGAGTTGCTTCCATATCCCCACCATATCAATCGCAATGTCAGTACAAAGTGAGATGAATGTGCTTTGCATGGTTCTGCCGCGCAGCCTGCAATAGGGGGAGGGGCGTTGCAATTTGGGTGTTCGCGGAACCCATGAGACCAGCTCGTGGAACCCCCTTGTTCCCCAGAACCCAGTTCGAGAACCCCTCGTTTACAGAAACACGCAATTCAATGCACGATAATTGTAGGCCGGCAGCACCTCTGTCGCAGCACCTCGATTGCTAGCTGCCAAAGAGTTTTTACAAAACATTTTACGTGATGTGAATTGTTTTGTACAGCACTACGAAGGATACTTTGCAATTTGAAATAGACTATATTCTTGGACTGCAACATTATTATTTGAGTGCCCACAGCACTATAAGGCATTGGAGTAGGCGGAAAAACATCTGGGAATGAAGAAACAATAGTTATACTACCTAGAAATATTAAAACTACACTAGCATAAAACATTTTGTATTATACAACACCTATTAGTATAACAATTAGCAAGCTGTTCTAATACAAAGAAACTAGAAACACTGACGATAGTGCTAACTACAGAAACTGGCAGTTTGTTGCAATCCCGTATGGTTTTAGGAAAAAAAGAGTTCCCAAAAACATTGGTTGAACGAGGGAATTTTTTCATTTGATAAAAATGATCCTTTCATTGCGGTGAATATGAGTCGAAGGCCTTCCCTTCTCAAGCTCAACTTCCTCCACCCTAGGCTCCTTTTAGCTCTTGTTTCAAGACGGGCAGCCCGGTTTTGCACCTCTTCAATAGCTTGGTTGCTAGAACAGTGTCGGGGTTTCATACAGTGAGCGCGAATTCCAAAACGGAGCAGGCCTTTCTTTCAAGAAGGCGGCACAGACTTAAAATTACAAGAGGGAGCCAAGCATTCTCGAGGCTTTGAGAAACAGTAAAATCAATGCGTTTGTCTCAACCTGGGATTAAAGCTACGAATACACCAAGGTATTCATACTCGTGTATGATATTAGACAGTTTTAGAATAGCGTACGCAAAAAATAGTCTTGTTGCCACTGGGCACGTGCTCAACGCTAACCACATTTTGTGCATTGCGGGTGCTATTTTTTTAAACTGGCGTGCATACAAAGAATTTTTTGTGTTCCTCCAAGGAGGAATCGTGATGCAAGAGAAGTTGGCTAAAGCCAGGATGAGCACAGTTAGAACGCCATGAGCGCAACGTCGGTGGCATGCTCGTGGGTGCGATTTTTAATCCGAGACGACGTCCGCACTCTTACGGGAGGTGCACGTCACAAGCAGAAGAGCCAGCAAAGAGAGCAATAATCGCCGGCAACTTGCTGCTTCCAATGCACAAAAGTTTCTTGGCGAAGGTCGGTACTTGAAACCTTTTTTGACAAGGCGACACAAGTGGACACGAACGGTGGACCACTCTCGTCGCATTCTCATATTTAAACAAATCTAAAATGTTACCTTGGACCCAAAACTTTCTTTTTCAAGTTACAGCATTTTGTGCATAAAATAAAGATTGTTACTGCACCTTGGTGGTACTGCAAGCATGAGATGCTTGGGTTTTGTGTCACGGCGGAAAAATGCTACTCTAAAACTGTTGCGTAGCATCCGCTGAAGCAAGCGCTAAATTCATCGGTAACGTGCGCTAGTACTGCGTAGGTTATTTTAAAACTATGTAATATGGCGTTCGGCATTAATGGTATAAGCACTGTTGGATGAAACATGTTTTGTAAATGGTACATGAACAGTCTTTTTGAGGCTCGTTTCCCACGATTTTTCCATGATATTACTGACATCAGTAATGTTAGTAATATCCACCTCAAGAACATCATCCTGCACTACATTTTTTAGAAACAATGCTATTGTCCGCAAACAGGTGCACACTAAATGTCACAACATGGACTATATCATCCAAGTACAGCGAAGGACAGATCCTTGAAGAACTCCCGACGTCACGTCCAAAAGCACAACCCTCTAGCACGACATACCGTTTCAGTGGGAGGTTAATCACATATCCGATGTACCACCCCTAGAGACAAGAAGCTAGGTTTTGGCGAGATTCTGTGAGTCCAAGGTTCTTTTGTCGTAAGCGTAACTTCCTGGGAGGGGCTCGGCCGGATCAGGCCCCAATACCCCACACACCTTACTATCCATTCTATGACCGTCAAGTTTCTATATCCTGAGGGACATCAAATGCTTCGCTAAAATCAATGATTTTAGCGAAGCATTTTAAGATTTGCGATTGTTCTTCTGAAGTATTCACAGTTCTTGTTGCGTTCTGTTATAGACCTTTCCAGTGGCAGTCTCGAACGAAGCGATTTACAGCGCGCGTCCCTGGTTTTGAGAGGGTAGGTCAGTGTTGCCCGACTGCGCTGAGCTGTGGAGTTTCTCGTCAGTCGACTGTGGCAGCCTGCGTAGGCGCACTTCCGAACGCTGGTGGAGGCTAAATTGCCGTGTTATATTTTTCTTTTGTGTTCTATGGCCAATAGAATTTCTCGGGGTTTTTAAGAATTCTCTGTACTATTTTTGGGAACAAAAACAAAGCAATGAAAGCTGTTTTGGTGAGTCCGTGAGCGACAGAACGAATGCAACAGGGATGTTTGTTTTATTTTATGTTGATCTTTTTACGGCACCATACACTCAGCCGTGTCAATCTACAAAGGTCTTAACCGTCGAAAATATTTGACCACACAGGATATTCGAACTGCATGGATATTCTCCGCCCACAACATGAAATTCAATGAGTCTCATCAATCGAACAACATATATTGCGGCACCGTGGGGTACCCACGGTGCCGCGTTCTCCGAATAGGGTTTGGGAAAGATCTCAAATAACACAGCGTATCGAATAAACAGTGTCGACGATAGTAACTTCACGACGATCGGACGGAATCCGGCGTGATTCGGGCACATGTTGAAGAGAGCTGCTTTTTCGCACAGCTTCAAAGCAAATGAACGAACGAGTCTATTCCGTCCCCACACCCCGGACCCGACCCTATAAGCTATTTTTCGCGAAGACCCGGAACACAAGCCGGGAAGGCTTTTTGGAGATTATCTCAACGGAAATAATCCTCGAAGAACGTCGATATTCCCGCGTCGCGGGCTTTGTTCTCTTCGTTCGTTTCCTGCGATACCGAGCAGGCTATGAGCCCTGGTATTCTTTGGTTCTCACAGTGCAAGATAACAGACGAAGGGTAAGCATCCTAAACAGGCAAATAAAGTAAAAATTTCCCAGAAAAGCCGGCGAACTCCGAATGCACAATGCAGCTGGGGAGTCACGCTGACCGGGTCTCCACAGCTCAGGCAGGTGGCAGAAATGTCTGGCTGATAGGGGTCGCTCGGCTCGCAAAATGGCGGCGGCCAGAGAGCTTTTTCTGCAAAGGTCTATAGCGCCGTTCGCTGATCCTGGCCATCTTCGCCGCGTCATTCCCTGTTGGAACCGAAGATTGGCGACTCAGCAACCAGTGTGCGCCTCCCCCCTGGAGCAAAATCGACTACACGTACCACGGACGGCGACTGAGGCGACACCGCAACATCACCGTATAAGAAGCGACAACCACTACCACAGCGGGATTTGCGACCGTTCTTCTGGAGTATTCACAGTTCTTGTTGCGTTCTGTTATAGCGCCGTTCGCCGATCCTGGCCATCTTCGCCGCGTCATCCCCTGTTGGAACCGAAGATTGGCGACTCAGCAACCCGTGTGCGCCTCCCCCCTGGAGCAAAATCGACTACACGTACCACGGAAGGCGACTGAGGCGACACCGCTACATTACTATAAAAGAAGCGACAACCACTACCACAGCGGGATTTGCGACCGTTCTTCTGGAGTATTCACAGTTCTTGTTGCGTTCTGTTATAGGTAAGCTTGTCACTCCCTCCTAACTACAAAGCTTTGTGATTTCTGTTGTTGCGGTTGCAAATCGCAGTAGTGTGTTTCTGTGGCGTAAGTTAGAATGGGTGACGACTTGTCAACTTACCGCATTCAAATTGGCCGTTTCTTTTCTCGTACAGGTACGAAGACATTTAATAGACCATGCTTCCACCACTTAGCATTATACATTCAGACATGGTGCCCGGACGCCAAAATTTTGTTGATGTGTCTGTGTGTTGCACAGCTGTTAATCTGTGCTGGTGACGTGGAAACCAACCCCGGTCCCGATAAGCTGGATCAGATACTTGCAGCTGTAAAGGAATCTCTAGAATCAAACAAACGGTACCAGGAAGAAACAACACACAAACTAAACGAAATCAATGCAGGCATCAGTGATATTAACAGCCGT